ATTTTTTATTGCACATATAAGACAAATAGGTAAGAATTTTACTTCTCCCATCCTAAAATATGTTGAGTGAGCTGGTTGATTATGTGTATTTTAATCGTGCATGTATCGGCTACCACTACTGAAGATTATTGGTGTTACATCAATATAATTAATGTTCTCAGTTACCTTTGCCTATTTGGAACATGAAAGTGAGGAGAACTCCATATGGGCACTACAGAATCTTAAAGAGTTGTTATATTCAGAGAAATTGCTTCCGAATGTTGTGGTGACAAACCGGGAACTTGCATTAATGAATGCCATAGATTCTGTGTTTCTAAATGCAACTCATATGTTGTGTATGTTCCATATTTCAAAAAACGTGAGCATGAAATGTAAAGAGTACGTGAAATCAGAAAGGCAAGAACATGTCATGGATCAATGGAACAATATCATGTACTCAAAGATAAAAGATGAGTTTGATGTACATTTCAAGAATTTCGAGAGTGTTTATGGTGATATTCCATCTTTTGTCAAGTATGTGAATGAAACATGGTTAACACCATATAAAGAAAGATTTGTTGCCGCATGGACTAACAGAGTTACTAATTTAGGAAACATAACAACAAACAGGTACTTGGACCGTGACATTTTAATGTCATTATTATACATGTTTATGTTTCGATATTAATTTGAAACATGTTATTTTAGGGTGGAGTCTACACATTGAAGACTAAAAAACTTGTTGACTGCATCTCGTGGTGATTTATGCCAAAGTTGGGATGCTGTGAATACCATGTTAAAGTTGCAGTTAGGTTTCATCAGAGTGTTGTTACAAAAAAAATATAGTCAACATTGAGCATCAGCATAACACCCCATTTTATACCAAGTTGCACAGTTTTGTCTCAAGACAATATATACAACTCATTCGGAAGGAACTAGAAAGAGTAAAATTTATTGGTTCAAGCAAGAAGAGGTGCCGTTTTTTCATTAGAACAACACATGAGTTACCATGTGTGTGTCTACTTTCCGGTTCTCAAATTTTAGGCACTCATATACCTTTGGAATCAATTCATGTATTTTGGACAAAACTGCATATTTTGGAATATGATGTGAGTCCTGAAGAGAGTAAGTGGGATCTAGAAGAAGAGCGTGAAAAGTTGAAGAAATATTTCAGTACTTTGGATATTGTGGGTCAGATGGTGTTGAAGAAAAAATTATGTGATCTAATCTATCCATCCACAACTTCAATGTGTCCATCGTCGGTGAAGTACAAGCCAAAAAGGGGAGTTAAGAAGAGTACAAAGGGTGAGGAGAGTCATGTGCATCATGATCCTAACCAGTGGGAATATGGTGAGGCTCCGCAGGGGAGTTAGACTACAAAGAGAACATGTGCAAAATCAAGTGGAAGTCAATCGTCAACCATGTTGGTTGGTAGACAACCTTCTACCAAATCTTCAAGAGATAAGTACTTGTCACAGTTTCCTGCTTTCTTTCATCCATACACCGATGACATTATTGATGTTGAGAATGATGGAAATTGTGGTTTCCGTTATATTTCATCTTTATTAGAATGGGAGGAAGATTCATGTTATTTGGTTCGGAAGCACTTAGATACTCAAGTTCATCAACACGCTAACTTGTTTTCCAAGTTGTTCTATGACATTGTCTCTGTTGTTAGAAATTCGTTACAAATAGAACACTTGGGTGTCCATAGTAGGGATAAATGAATGTTGATTCCTGATATGGGTTATCATATTGCTCCTAAATATGAAGTCGTATTTGTTTCCCTTTCCATGCAACTTAACATAACATTTTCCCACTTCTCATAGCTCCACCCACGTACACGAGTTGACATACAATCATTGTTGTTGGTTTTGTCAACAATAACTATTGGGTTCATATAAAGTTGAAACCCGATTGTCCATTGTCTCCCTTCACTGTTCGTTGGAAACAAAATTGTTCTAATTATGCAAAAGCATGAGAATCAGCATATGCGGGTCGCTTCATTCATTGGAAAGATTTGTGTAGGAAGTGATTGTAATTTTTTCGGTTCAAATATGTATGACAATTATTCTATTTATATATTAAGTCGGTTAGTTGATTTACTGTGTAAATTTTTCAAGTAAAAGTTAAAAATTGGGAAAAACAACTCCCAGTACTATCGAAAATTTAAAATTCCCGATTTTTTAGAACTTATCAAAAATTTCAAATTTCCAGTATATATAAGAAAGACAGTTATCAAAAATTTGAAATTTTCGATTACATGTATACGCCAGTAAAAATTTGTAAATTAAATGAAATTTCCAGTATTCCATCAAAATTTTCGATACGAAACCGTGAATTTCAAAATTTTCGATATTTTACAAGAATTTTTCAATAATTTTATCACTTGGAGGGTGGCATGTATAATTGAAGGTGAGATGTTAATTCTTCGCTGGACTGGATCGTGTCCGACAATGGACCCACATGCCGATTCCAGAACAAAGATGTTTCACTATCTTTTGCCATTTGGATCGTTTTGCCATGCACAGAAACATTACAAGTCATACTTTTTATGATAATTCCACGAATAAATAAATCACATTAAATCAAACTCACTTTAAGTAAACTTATAATTTAAATAGATGTTTATTCAAACATAAGTGGCAGAGTGCGTGAGACACGGATGTTAAAAGATTTTTTTCTTCTTTTTTTTATACGAGGCAAAGGAGCATTTTTAAATGGTGAAAGAGATGCATCACGAATACTTTTAACGAGGTAATTCATCCTAGTTCTCTACTTTCGCACAAACAATCTTGAATGCTTCTATGATCATCCTCTTAAAAAAACCTAGTACAAGAAGATCTCATGAAGAAATACTAACTCAACAAGCAGTTTACAAATGAATACATTACAGAACAAAGAAAACACAAACCAACTAATACATATCTTCCATTGCTTTCTGTATAAATTCAAAACATCCTAAACCTAACCATAAAGGGAAAGCAATGTGAGCAAAGCCAGAAATTGAGTTAAAAGCAATTCCTGTATCTCCATCTTCCCAACCTGTTAAGGAACTCGCAATCTCCTACGTTCTTGTAAGCACAATGCAAAGAATAGTTTTTCCTCTTCTTTTCTATAACTACAATGTTAATTGAACTAGAAACCAAACTCCTGAAAATAGCAAAACAAACCTGCAGAATAACACAGCAAAAATAAGCATAATAGACAAGTCATTGTCATATTTATGACAAAATCCAACTGAAGAGGGTAATACCAGTAAGCAATGCCAATCATGCACAAAATCTCAACACAAATGTGATACAAATGTTTCATTGGAATTTGGATTCTGAGTCCAAAATGAGTAAATCAGTACTTTAGTTCTTAAAGTCGTAAGGTTCGGTCTTTTTAACCTCTCAAATTTGTGAAATACAAATGCACTCCCCTAATTGAATAATGTAAGCCAATTCAGTCTGCATCCAGAGACTGTTCAAGTCATATGCAGGTCTTTTATTGATTTTTATGTTTATTATATCTTCAATTGTCCGCAAATAGCACAACTGGAGAAAAAAAAAGTCAATATTACTAGGTTGGACCCCATCACCAGGGTTCAAACCCTGGACCTCATAGTTGTGTGAGTTTCTAATGGTTATCACCACTTCGTAGAGACCCCAAAAAAAAGAGATATTTCAACTGAGGGACAAAATTCATTGATGTGCTTTAATTTGGGACTAATTTACTATTTTGTAAATTTGGAAGACTAATCACTATATTAAATTAATGAAAACAGCCAACTACCAAAACAATAAATTAAGAGAATAATCACTACATTATAAAGATGCTTAACAATTGAAAGTTGTTGATGAAAGTATATACATATATATCGTTGCATGTAATCAACACCGGCAGCCAATTATAAGTTATATGAAATTTTCTAATTTAGGATTCTTTAAATCATCTCCATTTTCCATCCAATTGCACATGCATTTCTTGCTATAAACAGTTCAGTTATTACTAAAAGTTTATTATTTGCACTATCATCATAAATTCATAATGTAATAAAGGCTCTTTTGTCATAAACAACTTAATTAAGTGCTTTTGAATAAGAACTTATTATACAAACTCTTTTAAATCAGCTATTTTTACAACCAACAAAAAAGAGAATTAAATAGTCATCATATGTGTCATTTAACAGTAAATTTTAGTATATTTAGCATTATGCAAGGGGGAGATCAAACACTCTCCCTCCTTATCACTCAATTTCTAAACTTTATCACCTCAACCACCAATCTAACCTTATATCCCCTGTCTTCATAAAAGTTTACTTGGCAGAACAAAAACTATTTCCATACTTTCTACGAAAGACTTATGTACAAACAATATATGTTCAAAACAATCATCTCTCCATAAATTATACGAAAGACTTATGTACGAAAGACTTAATACCTTTAATAATTTGAGAAAATTGAAGTGGTTGAATGTAACCACATAATCCAGTGACATGGCAATGTCAAACACCGGACACACCTTCAATCTAAAGTGTCGGTACTACATAGACAGTAGCTATTTTTAATGACTACTTGTGATTATAGTATTCTGTTACAACTCCTTTTCATGCTACGAACCCTCTTAATGAGTGTTTTATTTACAGAGTGAGAAGTAAAATCCATAACCGTAAATACTTATGCTATATATTTAAGTCCATACTGAAAATTTCATCTTCTAAATCTTACACGAATACTCTACAGACAACAGCAACTTATCATTCTCATATCTGTAAGAAGCTTTTGCAGTAATGCACAGATACGACATAGATTTTTATTTTACAGAAATGTACATACCAGAGAAGAAATCACGCAGATAAACAAATGCAGGTAATGAAAACAATACTTAAAGAGAAGCAAAGCAATAATATGAATGTTATCAGTATAGATCTTAGACTTACAGTTACCTTATGGTGACAATAGCAATTCAAGCACAGAAGCAAAATATGTGAGTGTTGGCTCTGTGATTCTTCAAAAACTTGAAGAAAAGCATGCAACTCATACAAGCTCAAAGGCATGATAAATTTTTGACGCTCGTCTTCTGAACATTGCTTCCAAACGAAAGGACGGAACTCCTTTCTGCAACTTTTTAGCTTCATACATCTCATTCCATGCCTGTACTATTTCATCAATTTTGAAACCTAGACCTGTTGGAAGAAGTGTTAGTATATATGAATGAATGCATATCTATCATGCATAAAATTTTCTAGCTAGGAGAGAGAATGTACCATCTACGGCAGTGTTATTTGAACAGTGGTTTTTCAGCATTACAGCTGTATCTGTTGGAGAAGCTCCTGCATGTTCAAACTTCTCGATTGCAACTTCCAAAGATTCATGCCATATAGGTAGCCCTAATTTGAATTCTACAATCGACCGTTCATATAGCATGGTCCCCCACAAGAGATTTATCTGAGACCTCATGTTTGCCGCCAGTGCAGCAGTTTCATCTGATGACATATTTTTAAATAGCCTGTTCAATTCAATATTGGAGGTTTCGCTCGTTTCCTGCTCTTGTGATTCTTCCCACATCAGCATTCCTTTCTCCATATTCTCCTCAGCACTGTTGTATAGGTGAAGAACCTCTGTGGAGGGCCATGTTGCTAAATCTACATTACTACTGAGTGCATAATACCAAGAAAGTTTTGCTTGCTCGAACCGTTGCTGACCTAGAGCAAGTAAGCCTTCATAAAAATCTGACTTTATTTTAATGGCTGCTTCAAATTTTTCTCCAGCTTTGGAATATTCTTTTTGCGCCCATTCATATGAACTTTTGATTTGTTCACGCATGTGCTCTTTAGAAGAATCTTCAGTTAAATATACTTTCTTCCTTGCCCTGGACATATGCACATTTCCCCAATTGAACAATGCTAGAGCCGTCATCTCTTGGAATTTACCTCCTGCCATGTCAAATAGGCCTTGCGCTTCCTCGCTTGTAACCGTATCCTCCACAGCCTCCGAATAGAGCTTCATCCCAAGGTCATGAAAATCTAAGTATCTGTCGGATTCAAATCCAACATGATTCTTGAACAGTTGTGCAAATTGAATGATCCAATCTTCAACACAAGATGGGCTAATAATTTCGTTTAATTTCACCACCCAGTCATTCTTAGGAGCATTATCAATTTCAACATCCTTCACCTGAAGTTTGTCGTAGAATGGATCGTGATTAGGATTAGCTTCTACTATATACAGTCGGATGGAACTCTGTGATCCTGTTTCAGCCAACTTCAATTCTTCATCACTAGTGATTGTGATCAAATCACCTTCTAGATCCCTATATTTGACAAGAACTGCCCCTAGGCCTGGGAACCGGTCACAAATAACTTCTCTTAGCTGAAAGAGGCTGCAATTAACTGGCAATTGAGCCCACCTTATATCATCGCCAAAAACAAGTTTCACAGTTTTCTTAGGTACAGCTTCATTTATACCATTACTTTTTTCTTCATTGACCTCCTTAACATTATCTTTCTGCTTATCAATCTTTTCCTTGACCGCCTTCTTTTTAGATTTATCACCCTCTTTTTTCTCTTCTTGATGATTTTCCTCAGCCTTATGTGCTGCAACATTGACCACATCTTCCTTCTCTTTAAATTTCTCCTCAGCTTGATTTTCTACGATTTCATTGGAAGCTGTCACCTTCTCTTTAAGTTTCTCCTCAGCTTGATTTTCTACAATTTCATTGGAAGCCGTCACCTTCTCTTTTTTGCTCTTTTTCTTGTGTTTCTTTTCTTTCACTACCTTTTTAGAAGAGACAACAAAAGAAGGTTCAACATAATCTGGAGGCAACTCAATTTGCGCATCATTTACTCTCAATCCTCTATCTTCAAGCGCACTTTTCACCTTATCCGAGATCTCCACCGCCATGATATTATTCGGCTCCATCACCAAAACAGCGCTAACATCTCTCAACGCCAAATCAAGTCTATTCAAAGCCTCATAACACCTCGCTCTCTTCAACAAAGCTTTACTATATTTCGGAGTAACCTCAAGAGCCAAATTGCATTCATTAATCGCCCTAGGGTACTCACCAAGCCCCATCTGCATATAACACGCAGCCATATTGCTACGCACATACGACACATCTATATGATTACTCGGAAGCAACCTGAGCGCTTTCTCATACTTTACCATAGCTCCCTGAAGATCTCTCTTCTGAAACATCTTGTTACCTTCTTCCTTCAACTCTTGAGCCATAGATATAAACACTATAGTATCATTATCATACACATTTGGACTTTTATCATGATTCCCATTCTCTTCACTTGTTTCTCCTATTTGCTTCTTTTTCTTCCCCATTTCAAACCCAACAATCAAATAGTAAATATACGAATACTAAACACAAGCCCTCCTAAACCACAGCACTCACGGTCTATGAAACACGGACTACATAAACATGATACCGAACTATAGAAACACGATACCACACTGACATACGCCGACACCAATAATAATTTTAAAATGAATAGATTAAACGCTATCACATGTATTGGTGTTGATTTTGGATACCGACACAGACACTAACTCAGTGACAGACACACCGTTTTTCGAGGTGTCGGACCTACATAGCCTAGAGTTCAATCCACTCAAGCACATAAGAAAATAAAAATTAAAAAAAATAAAAAACTTCCCCCCTGTTTTTCAATTGCATACACAAAATAACCTAGAATCAAAAACCAAACAAAGGGAGTTTCAAGAAAAAAATAAAATTTAGTAGTAAACAGCTCAAAGGTACATTTAAGAACAAGAACAATAGTAGTAGAAGCTACAATGAAACAAACTCAAAGCCTTAAAGCTGAAGAAACAACAACTAGGTTAAACATATACCCATCTCTCCAAATCAGGATTTGTTTCTGTTGAATACAAATCCCAACTGAGAGAGGGAACAACAACAACAACAACAACCAAATTCAGATTTGAATGAGAACGAAACTCCTCTCTAGAATTATCAGAAAACTTAATTCGTGAAAACGAACACAACGAATTCAACAAGAATTTGATACGAATGAAAAACTTATCTGGTGAGAAAATAAGAGAGAAAGCTTCAAAGTTTGGAATCTGAAATGCGTGAAATGGAAGAAAACCTAAGCATGGTTTATAGAAAATTGCAAGATTTAAACATTCTTGACGTAAACGCCACAAAAGAAAAAGAGATAATGTTGAATTTTTGTTATATGAAAAACCGAAACCTGCAATTTCTTACACTCTGTTCTTCTTTTTTAATTGTTTAATATATTTTGTTCGAAAAAGAATTATAAAGAATTATAAAGAATAATATTGTGTATGGTTTTGGAGAATCTTAGTGGGAGGTGGCGTACACATCTTGAACCAACTAAACTAACTCACAACTTTATTGCTTTTTATTTAATATGTATGTATCTTTGTCATGATGGTTCTATTTAATGTGCTTTAACATTTTTTAGACAATTAATAAACTTATTAAAGGATATTATGTTTTTATTAAATTAATTTTATTAATTATTAATGAATTTTTCATTATCATAAATGTAAAATATGATATAATTTTTTTAAAATTTGTTATTTATAATATATATCGATTATATTTAATAGATACATTTTTAAAGGAAAAATAATTAAGTTACGTTAATAATTAAAATTGACAATTTTTTAAAACAAATATTCTTAAAAAAGTATGATGATAATTGTGATACAGTCTCTAAATATATTTATAAACAATAATTTTTTAAAAAAAATTTATAAATAATTAATGTATCAGATATATAATAATGATTAGATATATCATTTATTAAATGAATTAAATTTTTTTATTATTTATAAATATATCAAAAAATATACACAACAGAAAAAATGGCCGGCATTCACAAATTGCATCTTCTATTGTTTATCTTCATTTTTTAAATAAGTACTGTATTTTGTTTTCATTATCAGCTATGTTATGATTAGACAAAAGTAGATCTTGTTTGCATCATCTATTAAAACTCATTCTCTTGTCACATATGAAAAGGCAAAATTTGTTGGTAGTAACCCGAAATTCTAACGACGTTTATAAATATTTTACAATATTTATCTATTATGTAAAAAAATCTTATGCGGTTGAATTTCTAGTCTTGTAGTTCTGTTTCCTAAGCCTCTGGCGTGTATAATTTCATTGTTCTACTTCCTTCTTTCTATTATAACTAATAATAAATTTGTGTGTTTGGACCGGTACGGAACACACATTTGTTTTAAATATATATTTTTTAATAGAAAAATATTTAATATTCGTGAAAAAATAATAATTAAATATATAATTAATAAAAAAATATTTTGATTAGTAACTTGACGTTTCTGTTAATAATTAATATTTTAATCAATAATTTCATATTATTGTATATAAATATTATTTTTATTTAGGTATTATTATCAAAAATATTTGAATTAATAGTAAATTTTGGTATATAAAAATATTTAAATCAATAATAGATCTTTTTTCCGTATACCATTTATTAAATCAAAAATATTTGAATCATAAATATTATTTTTCATATATAAAATTATTTAGATCAATAATAAAAAAAAATTCCGTATACAAAAATTATTTTTATTTAAGTATCGTTTACAAAAATATCTATATCAATAGTAAATTTTCGTATATAAAAAAATTTAGATCATAATAAATTTTTTTCCCGTATATCATTTTTTGATAAAAAAATATTTAGATCATAAATAACAATTTTATATAAAAATATTTAGATCATTAATAAAAAAAATTCTCGTATAAAAATTTTATATTTTAAAAATATACTAAGATTCATACTTTAATAGCTATTCATCTCTATTTGTTTTTTTCTATATTGTATCTCATTTCAATATCTATTAAAAAAATCTATTAGACCAATAATATAAAAATAACATCGTTTTAAATCATATTTAAATAAAAATTGCACTTTCTTATTAATGTTTTAAGTCATATTTGAATATTTGTATATGTAGTTATAGGTAGATAGATAGACATAATTTTATGGAGAAAATATACAGAAAGTACAACTTAGGAAAACAAAATTTCTAGAACAGTATGCCACCTTCATTATTCACATGACAGCCATTTATATCAAACTATTAATTTTGACAAATTCACTTTAATTATTATTATTTACATGAATATTCACATGACAATTTTCATATTTAAATGTTAAAATAATATATTTTTATAATACTTTAATAAATAACTATTTTTAAAGCCAATTAATTGAACAATATGAATGCAACCATTCAATTAATAAGAATCGTTTTAAATAGTTAATTAACATATGCATCATGTTTCATCAATTTATATGTTTCATTAATTTAAAAACATAAAAATTAATATTATTATCATATTTTTAGATAACAATTATATAAAATATTAACTATTATTAAATGATATGTAGAATGCAATCTACGAATTCAACTTTTATCATTGTTTTTTACAGACTTTATTCTAGGTAATTAATTTTCTGCTCCTTCTTTCTTCTTCCTTCCTTATTCTACTTTCTTCTTTCTACTATCATACCACTATTTCTGTTTTATTAAAATTACAATCATTTTTTTTACAAACTACACCTCTACAACTAATATTTTAATAATATATTTGCCTTCTTTAAAATCAAAAGTTAATTTCTATCACGTGGTTCTTATTTGGTTTTACGGTGAGTGATGTTTTTTAGATATGTGAAAAAAATCGATCATGTTTCTCATTGATAATTTTTTTTTTTAATGTTGAGATTTTCTTTCATTATTAAATCTATTTTATGTTTACTACTATTAATGGTGAGATTTATTTTATGGTATTTACCAACTAAAGAGTCAATGTTATAATATTTAAAACAATTACCATTCAATATTGATGCAGAGTATATATTATTATAATTTATTACGTAATATTGTTTAGATGTTGAAGTTTGAAAATCAATATTGTTATATTGCCAAATTAATGTAGATCAACACAAATATTTCTTAACTTTTTCTTAAACTACCACTTGAGTATAAAAAAAATGTCTATGTCATGTATTGAGTAAAAAAAAGTCTTGTGTTCCCGTATAAAATTTTAGAGGTAAAATTAAAACAAAAATAAATGAGTCTAAAATAATTTCTTTTTTGTTACATGAAATAGGTAAACATTTGTTTTCTTGAAATAAAAATCTGAAAATTAATATTTAGGGATATAATATTACATTTTTTTCAAGAAATTAGACTTCGCAGTACTATTTAGTTGTAGTATGACAGGGCTATTTACTTGTACCAATGATATTGTTATGTTTTGTCCTTTTGTATAAACACAAACTTGTTACAAAAATATTAGTGGATCTAATTAATTGTTCTATCCTCAAAAAATGTGGCTGATACACTGCACATCTTATAATCCACGCGATGGGTTCAAATTTTCAATCAGTTTTTAGGGAACTTTTTATCCACATACCACCACCTTTTTACTACTAAATTTCCACAATATCATATATCTACACATATTTCCAATATATTATGTTTTCAAACAAAAAAAAAATTAAAGTAAGAGGTTCTGTCTATTGAATTGAAAGATGTTTTCTAAGTTATACAGTTTGCCTATTAGGTTGGTGGAACTATTTAAATATCATTTCTTTATTAATTATTTATTAAAAATTAATTAAAATTAATTAAAATTAAAATTAAAATTTAAAAATAAATTAAAAATAAAAATTAATATTAAAATTAAATGTTAATCATATTAATAAATAAATACTAAAATAAATAAAATTTATCTAAATAATAATAAAAAATGAACGTAAATTATTAAATACGGCTCCGCCACTGTAACGCGCGAAGACTTTCGTTATATTATTATTTAAGTACGGTTCCGTCATTGCAATGAGCGGAGACTTTCATTATTTTATTATTTAAATACGGCTCCGCCACTGCAATGGGCGGAGGCTTTCGTTATTTTATTATTTAAATACGGCTCCGCCACCACAATGGACGGAGACTTTCGTTATTTTATTATTTAAATACGGCTCTGCCACTGTAATGGACGGAGGCTTTCGTTAATTTTATTATTTTAAATTTTTTACTGTGAACTATAAATATCATTGATGTTGAATGATCCTAGCCACACTCAAAATATTTTTCTTTAGTTCTATCTTAAAAATGTCTTCAACAAGCGGAGAGTTTCCAACGTTTCCCTATATGAAAATAGATATTGAACTGATTTTTTTCTCTTGTAAAGCCTCCGATGAAAATCAAGTTGTTGAACATGCAGACATTTGAGCATCTGCATAGACACTTGAAGGGATTGTTAGGGGAAGAAATTGCACAAGGTGAAAAGATTCGGAAAATTGAGAGGCTGGTTACTATGCCCGGCTTAAATGGACCCACTCGTTCTTGAAGACTTGTTCACAATGATGCATGTGTTCTTATGATGATGCTTCAACAAAAAGATATTGTATTACTGGTTGTAATATCCTAGAAACACTTATGTGTTTAGGTTAAATATTGTTGTTAAGTTCTTCTATTTGTCTAAGTATTCTACCTTATGTGTTTTTTTTTTAATTGTGATTTATATTAAATGCAAAAGTATTAGTGGCATAAAACATAATTTCTTGGCGTCATTATACATACAATTTTGAAGATTGATAACAAAATGAATAACTAAGTATTACTAGTTCCTACATTAGGGCATCGTGTTTGGTTGTGACCTGAAAGACGATACAATGTGCATTTTCTCTCCAATTTATCATACGCGTTCATTTCTGTTGTAATACGGGTGCTCAAAAGATGACCTTTCTTGTTCCTCCGCATGATTGGATTATGGAAAATTTGATCTTCCTCATAAGTGGGCCAATACTCATCGTATGGTAGAACTAGAAAGCTCGTGTTGTAAACCCCAAATAAGTTTGCCACCTTGTAAACGTCAGACAATAGAAGATAGACGTCTTGGCGCACCACGGAACATGCAACGATAACATGTGAGCAAGGAACATTGTATGCTTGAAACTTTTTGCAGTCACACCAACCATCTATTAGGTTGACCTTGTAATGTCCCAATGGCTTCCCCTCACAGTGGTTAATTGTTTCCTTCATACTGAAAGTGTTATTATTGTAGTAAAAAATGCTTACCTGATGCATGGAGGATTTTGCTGTCTCTTCTTTCATCACCTTCATGCACCGCTCTGTAAATGTTTGTCCGGAATTCAAAACTGCACTCCATTTTACACCCCTTTTAGCAA